GGTAATGGTGTTGAGATGTATGCAGTAAGTCTAGTCTCCGCTTAGGATATAGATGCATGTAGCATATTTGACTCTTGTTGCGATAAATTAAAACTTGGGTTTGTTACAAATCCACTGAATGTCTAACATGCATTTGTTTCATCAACGCATTTTTATATTCTACAATTGTTTCATTGGTGCTTCTCTAAAATAGTTATGTTTGCTGAAACATATATAAACCGGAATCGTGGAACACAATCAAGTGCAGTCTAAATCAAGGCTAGGTATGTCTTCAATCCTTTGGCGAATAATAGAAAATTACTTGTTCAATTAATTCCTAGGCTACATTCTCCTTTTCTATTTTTGAAATGAATGTACAATTTATTCAAACAAACAAAAAAATCGTTTTCACAACAAGTGCATATGTTGGTTAAGAAGAGTATCAAAACATAATTTTACAACTTAGAACAAAAGAATCATCTCGAAACAAACCATGCTTCCATTTCTGATCCCCCAATTTTCTAATAGTTGATAGCCTGTTTCGAACTTATTTGTCGATGAATGTGATTTCGTTCCCTCCAAATTGTATGGAGAGTGGTTTGGAACACATACCTTAATAGAAAAAGGTGAATTTTATCTTGCGATGTATCCACCAATAGCTCGAGTATTTGATCCCAATTCGTTATGTAACGCTGAGCAAGATGTTTTTGAATTATATACTTCCGCCGAGAATCTACATGCAAAATAAAGATGATCTCGGGTTTTGATGTTACTTTGACAGAAGATACATGAGCCATTGGCCCCAACATTCCACCTAAGCATAGTTAACCGATCATGAACAGTCATGCATGAAAGGCATATTTTGGTGTAGTATAGGAGAACCACAAGCATTTCCACCAGACCTTGATAGGCTTCTCTTTTCGGATCAGCTTCCATGTCACTCTGGAATTGAAATTTGGTCGGAATGTATCCCCTTTTTTCTTTCATAAAACCACATCGTCTCCTGTGAGAATCCCCTTGCTTCGTTGTTCTTCGATTGCCTCTTCTACAACTTTATATGGTGAGTATCGATGGTTGCGTTTTCTATGAGTTTGTAGTGCCATCTCCACAAAAGATTGACTCCATATTCCCAAAACCTCTCGCTATTTTCCGATCATTCATAAGATTTTTCCACATCGAAGAGCCAAGAGAGGTGAACACATTCCCCTTTCGTTGTAATATGATGCTTTCTTCATCTCCAAGTTCTTCAAGATATGATGTCTAAAAGTAATTGATTGCTTTGAAAAGTTAGTCTTTGCCCCGAAGACGACCGATACTGTTATAGGATATCCAGAATCACGGTACATTGGGGTATGTCTACCTTGTAAAAAATATAAACGCAAATACGACTTGAATGTCCGCAACGACCAAAAATTTCAGTTGCTAGAATTGTTTTTTGATCGGTTTCGCGACACCAGAACGATCAACATTTAGTCGCTGCAACCA